AGCCGGGAACTATAGCTGTGCACGTGAATAAGTCACCCTTACCACAGTGAATCGTTATGCTCGACGACTATGCGCCACAGACAGATCGTCTAACTCGCCAGGCCACATTGCCCAGCTGCGTGCAAACTCCCGGCCAACACCGCGTTCGGAGAGTCATCCCAGCGGGGCGCGGCCTCGCTCAGCTAACCAACCAAAACACCCAGCATCCTGGTACCACACCCTCCCAGAATCGTGCCCACAACTTCCCTCGAACATCAGTTTACTTCCCGGACCACACCCCGCAGCTGCTATTATCGTTCCCTTTCCCTTAACTCAGACCAGCGCCAGGCCCTAGGTAGGCAAATTTCTGCCCGCTTTTATGTGTCGGAAACACTATACTTCTATGCGCATTCTGCTTAGCTTGTCTTTGTAACTGCTTGCAGCAACACAAGCAAAGCAGTGCATTATCCAAAGACAAGGGGGGGCGTCGGTGGTCAGGCTCTGTAATCCTAGGCACTCTGGGAGGCTGCAGGCGGCGCGGAGTCCCGCATCGAGGCTCAGGAGTTCGGCCAACCAGCTGAGCGCACGAGCGAGACCACTGTCCTCTACTATAACCTAGCGCGGAGAAGAACATTAATTGGACCAACCTCACACTACGTACTCACCTGACGCGGCCCGGGCGCGCAGACGAATAAATCTACGCCGGCATCGCGGCTGGGCGCATGCTGTATCCAGCACTCCCGGGCCGAGCCCTGAGGGCACGCGAGGATCGCTCTCGAGCCCAGGAGTTTGAGTCTGCCTGTGAGCTAGGCTCACGACGCACGGCGACTCCACTCTAGCCCTGGGCACACAAACGCCGAGACCGTCCGTTCATCAAAAAAAAAAAAAGCAAAAAGCAGAAGGACAACACCCACAAGGAACTCCGACGCGTTAAGTGACTCGCGTTCAACGGTCACAGACAAGTCGGCCATCTGCAAGGCGCTTCCTCCGCCCCTTTACAGAGTTATCAAACAAGGCCCTGGCCGGGGCCCTGTGGCTCACCCTGTCATCATAGTCACTCTGGGGGGCCGACGCGGCAGATCGCTCCGAGTGAGGAGTTCTAGACCCAGCTTGAGCAGACGACGACGCCCCAGTCTCTACTATAACAGTAGAAGAAATTAATTGCCAACTGGATACATATAGAAAAGAGATTACATACCAGCATGGTGGCCTATGCCTGTAGCCCAGCTACACGAGAGGCTAGAGCGAGCAGGATTCGCTTAGCCCAGGATTTCGAGGTGCTCGTGAGCTAGGCTCGGACCGCGCACTCGCGCACCTCACCTAGCCTGGGCAACAAAGCGAACTCCTGTCTCAAAAAATAAAAAATAAAAAACAAGGCCTGAGCCAAGTCCAGAGGACAGCCCCGTGCTCTTCTGCCAGCCTGCCGCACTGCGCCCCGCTCCGACAGAGCTCGGAGAGCAGCCCTGTCAGTTCTTCGCCAAAGAGCAGGGCAAGAACCCAAGCCCCGCCACCCTCCGGGGCCGGGGGCGTCCCGGCCCAGACGCGGCCCTTCCCCTTCCCCGCGGCGCTCGCCGCCCTGCCCGGCCGTCCGCGGGGCCGCAGGCGGAGCCCCAGGAACGGGAGGGCGAGGTCCGACCGACCCACAGCCCTCGTCCGGGGGCCGAGACAGACTAAGCGGATTAGGGCCGGGCCGGGCCGCCGAGCATCCTCCGCGGGGCCCAGGGCCGAGCTCCGAGCCGGGGCGGCGGGGCTGCGAGGGCGGCGCGGAGGGGCCGGAAGCCCCGACCCCAAGATGGACAGAAGCCGCCGCCAGGCCGGCCGGCCGGGCCCAGGCCCGCCGTCCGCTCACCCGCTCTCCTGCTGCCGCCGCGGGGCCGCCGCAGCCCCGAGTCCGACCCTAAAGGGGCTCTGAGCACCCCCGTCTCCCGACAGGTTGCGGCGCGGTCCGTGCCGAAGCCATCGTGAGGGCGGCGGCGACACCTGAGGCCTCCGCACCCGCTGGGGGTACACTGGCTGCCCGGCCGGCCGGCGGCCTGTGGTGGGACAGCCTCCCGAGAGCGCGGCGCTTCTCGCGAGACTCGGCCCGGGGGAAGAGGAGGAGGGGGCGCGCGGGGCACGCCGGGAGTTGTAGTTCGCGGGCAGGAGGCCTCGCGCCCTCTGCTGGCTGCGAGGGTGGAATCCGCCCGCCGCGAAAGGAGGAGCCACCCTCAGCGCCCGTTGTGCGCCTGCGTGCGCGACTGGCTGAGAGAAGGTGGAGAGGGCGCAGTAAAGTGACGCCCACAAACCCAAGTCCACACGGCCCCAAAAAGGGCTGCCGGGTGCCGGCCCTTGGCGCCCTGTGTTTCCCCGTTCACGGAGGTGAAGCTGAGGCGGGAGAGATGAGGGTTCTGTTTGATTAGCAAGCGGTGCGGTGAGCAGGGGCTGTCTTGCAAGGACAGGTGCGCTGGGCGGGGTTTATACCTGTAGCAGAACCAAAAAGGAGAGCTCACGCCTGCCCCCCCAGGTAAGGAAGTTCTAGTCTCAGCTCCCTTTTAAGGCTGAGGAAAGTGGGGCTTGGAGAGGAGGAGTCCCTGCAGGTGTCGCCTCCTAAAGGAAGACTCCTGTTTTCCCCGACGGGTTTGCAAATAGAGCAAAAGGAAAACACAGAAGCAGAGGAAGAAATTGCGAAAGTCCACCCGCCTTTCCACCCCAGGCTTTGCTCATGCAACTTTAAAACTAAGTGCCTTTTCCAGGTGCCTGAGTGCACCACGAATTAAAGTCTTTTATAAATTCTACAATTAGCTTATGAACGGCACGGTTACGCTGCAGTGTGATCCGTGTGTTAAAAGTGTTACTTTGCTAATTTAGAGCTTTTAAAAATATGCTATATTTTTTAACCTCTGTGGAAGCAAAGTGACACCTGACCCCTTCCCCACGAGGAAGGGATGCGTATCACATCCCACAGTCAGAAGGGGAAGAGTGGCACTTTGCACCCTTGTATAAATCATAAGGCAGGATCGTCTCATTTCATTCTTATCCACAAATACATGAAAACGTAAGCCTTTCCTGGAAGTTACTGTCTGATTAAAATAACTTTATCTCTGATTTTTTTGTGGCACCAATGTCTAAAGCTATGTCATGGCCTTGGTAAAGAGTAGCCATGTGAGAAAATTGCTATTTTCTACAAAGAATAGACTAACTGTAAACTTTTAATCTTGGCTTTCAGGTGGGGGTTTCCCCTTTATATAAGTGTTCTGTTTTTTTGTTTTTTTTTTTTTATTTGGAGAGTTCATTCTCCTAAAGCCTAGACTCCCTTACTGGCCCTCTTTGGAAGTAAACTGCTTCGCTAAACGGCTTGTTTTCACGGCTTCCTGTCCTAGCAAGCGGTCCAGTCAGTCAGGACAGAACTGCAAGGCCAGAGGAGGGCGTTCCCTGTGCTGAGGTCAGGCCATCTCCCTCAGCTCCTGTGGTAGCTGTCTGCGGCACGAGGTCTCCCCCATACCCCATTCTGTGCTTTTTTTTCCCCACGACTCTGGTTTTGGTTCTCAGCCAAGCCTGAATCCAGTTCTGGGCGCAGCTGCTCCGTTTCCCCAAGAGTGGCAGCATCCTGGGAAAGGTGGGCTTTCGGTTCTGACTGTATGGTTCTTATCCCCTGGCAGACAACCGTCCCTACGTTTGGTTGGCCAGTAGTAAGTCCGGTTGCCTTTACAAGGTATACTTACAAGGAAACTAATTTTCCAAAAGTTTTTGTCTCTGAATCATCTTTTCCCATCTCCGTAGGCATTTCACACTTTAAGGAACTTGGAGTCTGAAGAACTGGAGTTGCCCAGTGTCTCTCTTACGTGCTCAGCTAGCAGTCCTGCATCCTGCCTGCAACAACCCTGCACACCCCTTCATGGGAGGGGGGAGGGGGGCGGCCAAGGAGTGGGACGGAATCCTGCCCACCTGCCCTCCTCTGGACATCTGTCCTCTCTGGCAGCCCAGGCCCTCAGCAAGCTCCACTCCCTAGACAGACCTGCTGTGCTCTCTCATGACCCATCCATCAGCAGACAACTCAGATGGCTGTGGGCGTGGCGTCTGCATTTCCCGGAGCTCTGTCTGGTAGCCCTGCCCACTGTATCATTATAGATGAGGCACTCAACCTAGCAATGCTCCAGAATTATCCATGTCCAGTGCCCACTCGGTAGCAGGAGAAAATAACACTCTCAAGGGGTCCTTGGCAAAGGTACCCCAGCCCAGAAACGGAAGAATTGAAATCCAAACCCTAGGGGAGGCCGTTGTGGGAGGATGGCCTGAGGCCCAGAGTTCGAGACCAGCCTGAGCAAGAGCGAGTTCCCATCTATATAAAAATAGAAAAATTAAGGCTGGGCGTGGTCGGGAGGCTGAGGCAGGAGGATTGCTTGAGCCCAGGAGATTGAGGTTGCTGTGAGCTAGGCTGACGCCACGGCACTCACTCTAGCCTGGGCAACAAAGTGAGACTCTGTCTCAAAAAAAAAAAAGATTGAACGGGGGATGGCTGTGCCTAGGCAGGGGGCAGAGGGTCCTGACTTTTCCAGACTTTAGGACTCCTGGCTACTGCCCACAGCCATCACTGACCAAAGTGGAAGCTAGGAATTGGCAAGAGGCAAGGCAACCTGGGGGAGAGAACTGAAAAGTACCATCTACTGAGCACCTACAAGGGCTGTCCAAAAAGTATCCAGCCATGCATACGATGGATACAATGGCTGGGTACTTTCCAGATGGCCCTGGTGTATGCCAGTCCTGTGAAAGGTACATTGCATGCGGTACCTTCGGGTTACTGCGCCCTGTTAGGTAAAGTTCAGTGGGGAAGAGACAGGTGCTCAAAGATAGGGACCTGCCCTCAGAGGCCCAGCTGTCGGCGCTGGGGCGAAACCCAGGTCCGACTGGCTCCGGGACCTGTGGTCTTTTCCACGCTCTGGCTGGTGGAACCTTGGGAAGCTGGAAGTGGGGTGGAGTCGGGGGCTGTGGGTAGAGAACCAGAGCCCGGGGAAGCTCTCAACTGGCCCCTGGCCTCTCTCCAGTCGGTGGCAGCCAGAACCTGCGCTTCTACTGGAAGGAGTTTGTGAATGAGGTGGACGTGCTGGTGTTCGTGGTGGACTCGGCGGACCGGCCGCGACTGCCTTGGGCCCGGCAGGAGCTACACAAACTGCTGGACAGGGACCCTGACCTGCCTGTCGTCATCGTGGCCAACAAGCAGGTGACAGCCGTGGGAGGGAGGCTCGGGCCAGCTGGATTTCAACTCAGAGCTGCCAGGGCAGGGGTGGGGGCACTGCAGAGGGATTTGGGTCTTTGCTATGGCCCCGGGGAGGTTGGCTGACACATCATGCCCTCTCTTCTACCTGTGTTATTTCCTTATCCCTGCCTCTGTCTTCCTTCTTCTTTACCTCCCTATTATTCGTCACTCTGGAGAGATAAGAAAAATTATTCTGAAGTGCCTATGATAAGCCAGGCGAGGTGGCTCACGCCTGTAATCCTAGCTCTTTGGGAGGCCGAGGCGGGCGGATCACTCGAGGTCAGGAGTTCGAAACCAACCTGAGCAAGAGCGAGACCCCGTCTCTACTGTAAATAGAAGGAAATTAATTGGCCAACTAATACATATAGAAAAAATTAGCCGGGCATGGTGGCACATGCCTGCCGTCCCAGCTACTCGGGAGGCTGAGGCAGAAGGATCACTTGAGCCCAGGAGATTGAGGTTGCTGTGAGCTAGGCTGACGCCACGGCACTCACTCTAGCCTGGGCAACAAAGTGAGACTCTGTCTCAAAAAAAATTAAAAAAAGTACCTATGATATGCCAGGCATGGTTTGAATGACATTTCTTATGATGCTTCTGTTGACCCTACAAGGTATGAGATACTATTCCCATTTCACAGATTGGGAATCTGAAGAGAGAGGTTGTGTGACCTTGCCAAGGTTGTACACCTCAAGAGTAGTGGAATTAGGATGTCTGACTCCAGACCTGCACCTTTTCCACCCTGCTACACCTTTGCAACTTCTGGCTCTGCAGCAGAGAACTAAAACTGGGAAGTGACGAGAAGCAGAGCAGGTCAACTGATAATGATAACTAATGTTCATGCGTGCTTACGTTGTGCCAGACACAGCACCGAGCCCGACAGTCATGACCCCACTTCAGCCCTACAGAAACCCCACGGAAGGCCCTGCTGTTCTCCTTAAATGCCTGAAATTACAGCTGGTGTATGGCAAAGCCAGGACTTGAACTCAGATCTTTCTCAGAGTTCCTGCTCTTGCCCATCACACTCCACCTCTCCTGGGTGCCAGGGGGTTGTCCGGGGCCCAGCAGCCCTCAGCGTCACAGACCCTGTGACACTGCCAAGCCACAGCGTCCTGCCAGACCTCCTGTGCCTGTTCCTGTGTGGCTCTGAGAGCTGTGGGACATGTTCCTGGCCTGTCATTTATACGTAGGGTGACCGTATGTCCCAGTCTGCCCAGGACAGTCCCCATGTATGCCTGTTGTTCTGGTATAACTGTCTTTTTTTTTTTTTTTTTTTTTTTTAAGAGCATGTGCCACACAAGCATGTGCCACCATGCCTGGCTAATTTTTTTTTATATGCATGTATTTTTTAGTTGTCCAGCTAATTTCTATTTTTTTTAGCAGAGATGGGTTCTTGCTCAATTCCTAGCACTCTGGTGGCCGAGGCAGGTGGATTGCTCAAGGTCACGAGTTCGAACAGCCTGAGACCCTGTCTCTACTAAAAAATAGAAAGAAATTAATTGACCAGCTAAAAATATATATACCAAAAAAAAATTAGCTGGACATGGTGGCTCATGCCTGTAGTCCCAGCTACTCAGGAGGCTGAGGCAGGAGGATTGCTTGAGCCCAGGAGATTGAGATTGCTGTGAGCTAGGCTGACGCCACGGCACTCACTCTAGCCTGGGCAACAAAGTGAGCTTCTGTCTCAAAAAAAAAAAGATTGAACGGGGGATGCTGTGCCTAGGCAGGGGGCAGAGGGCCTGACTTTTCCAGACTTTAGGACTCCTGGCTACTGCCACAGCCATCACTGACCAAAGTGGAAGCTAGGAATTGGCAAGAGGCAAGGCAACCTGGGGAGAGAACTGAAAGTACCATCTACTGAGCACCTACAAGGGCTGTCCAAAAAGTATCCAGCCATGCATACGATGGAATACAATGGCTGGGTATTTCCAGACGGCCCTGGTGTATGCCAGTCCTGTGAAAGGTACATTGCATGCAGTACCTTCGGGTTACTGCGCCTGTTAGGTAAAGTTCAGTGGGGAAGAGACAGGTGCTCAAAGATAGGACCTGCCCTCAGAGGCCCAGCTGTCGGCGCTGGGGCGAACCCAGGTCCGACTGGCTCCGGGACCTGTGGTCTTTCCACGCTCTGGCTGGTGGAACCTTGGGAAGCTGGAAGTGGGGGAGTCGGGGCTGTGGGTAGAGAACCAGCGCCCGGGAGCTCTCAACTGGCCCTGGCCTCTCTCCGTCGGTGGCAGCCAGAACCTGCGCTTCTACTGGAAGGAGTTTGTGAATGAGTGACGTGCTGGTGTTCGTGGTGGACTCGGCGGACGGCCGAGACTGCCTTGGGCCCGCAGGAGCTACACAAACTGCTGGAACAGGGACCCTGACTGCCTGTCGTCATCGTGGCCACAAGCAGGTGACAGCCGTGGGAGGGAGTCGGGCCAGCTGGATTTCAACTCAGAGCTGCCAGGGCAGGGTGGGGCACTGCAGAGGGATTTGGGTCTTTGCTATGGCCGGGGAGGTTGGCTGACATCATGCCCTCTCCTACTGTGTTATTTCCTTATCCTGCCTCTGTCTTCCTTCTTCTTTACCTCCCTATTATTCGTCACTCTGGAGAGATAAGAAAAATTATTCTGAAGTGCCTATGATAAGCCAGCGAGTGGCTCACGCCTGTAATCCTAACTCTTTGGAGGCCGAGGCGGGCGGATCACTCGAGTCAGGAGTTCGAAACCAACCTGAGCAAGAGCGAGACCCGTCTTTACGTAAATAGAAGGAAATTAATTGGCCAACTAATACATATAGAAAAAATTAGCCGGCATGGTGGCACATGCCTGCCGTCCCAGCTACTCGGGAGCTGAGGCAGAAGGATCACTTGAGCCAGGAGATTGAGGTTGCTGTGAGCTAGGCTGACCCACGGCACTCACTCTAGCCTGGGCACAAAGTGAGACTCTGTCTCAAAAAAATTAAAAAAGTACCTATGATATGCCAGGCATGGTTGATGACATTTCTTATGATGCTTCTGTTGACCCTACAAGGTATGAGATACTATTCCCATTTCACAGATTGGGATCTGAAAGAGAGGTTGTTGACCTTGCCAAGGTTGTACACCTCAAGAGTAGTGGAATTAGGATGTCTGACTCCAGACCTGCACTTTTCCACCCTGCTACACTTTGCAACTTCTGGCTCTGCAGCAGAGAACTAAAACTGGGAAGTGACGAGAAGCAGAGCAGGTCAACTGATAATGATAACTAATGTTCATGCGTGCTTACGTTGTGCCAGACACAGCACCGAGCCCGACAGTCATGACCACATTCAGCCCTACAGAAACCCCACGGAAGGCCCTGCTGTTCTCCTTAAATGCCTGAAATTACAGCTGGTGTATGGCAAAGCCAGGACTTGAACTCAGATCTTTCTCAGAGTTCCTGCTCTTGCCCATCACACTCACCTCTCCTGGGTGCCAGGGGGTTGTCCGGGCCCAGCAGCCCTCAGCGTCAAGACCCTGTGACACTGCCAAGCACAGCTCCTGCCAGACCTCCTGTGCCTGTTCCTGTGTGGCTCTGAGAGCTGTGGGACATGTTCCTGGCCTGTCATTTATACGTAGGGTGACGTATGTCCAGTCTGCCCAGGACAGTCCCCATGTATGCCTGTTGTTCTGGTATAACTGTCTTTTTTTTTTTTTTTTTTTTTAGAGTCTCACTCTGTTGCCCAGGCTACAGTACTGTGGCATCAGCCTAGCTCACAGCAACCTCAGACTCCTAAGTTCAAGTGATCCTCCTGCCTCAGCCTCCTGGGTAGCTGGGACTACAAGCATGTGCCACCATGCCTGGCTAATTTTTTTTATATGCATGTATTTTTTAGTTGTCCAGCTAATTTCTATTTTTTTTAGCAGAGATGGGTTCTTGCTCTTTCTCAGGCTGGTTTTGAATACCTGAACTCGAGTGATCTTCCTGCCTCGGCCTCCCAGAGTGGTAGGATTACAGGCATGAGCCACCGAGCCCGGTCTGTGGTATAACTCTTAATAGTGCCCACTTTGAGCCTCAGAAGTTCCCTAGTTTGGACAATATATCCCTATTTTTAAACTACTTTATAGGCCGGGCGCGGTGGCTCACGCCTATAATCCTAGCACTCTGGGAGGCTGAGGTGGGTGGATCGTTTGAGCTCAGGAGTTCGAAACCAGCCTGAGCAAGAGCGAGACCCCGTCTCTACCGAAAATAGAAAGAAGTTATTGGACAGCTAAAAATACACAGAAAAAATCAGCCGGGCATAGTGGTGCATGCCTGTAGTCCCAGCTACTCGGGAGGCTGAGGCAGGAGGATCACTTGAGCCCAGGAGTTTGAGGTTGCTGTGAGCTAGGCTGACGCCACAGCACTCACTCTAGCCTGGGCAACA